TGATTATAGAATTTACATGGAAACATTAAGGGCAAAGAACAGCTAATGCAGCCCTGAAGAAGGAGGTTATAGTCCTGGTGTGGCACTGGGCCTTGGTGTGGCACTGTGGGTTAGTGCGCCAGACTGCGAAGCCATTAAAATGCAAGGTCGGCGGTTCAAGCTCACCAGCTGCTCCTCGGAAACCCTATATAGGGCAGCTATGAGTTGGAATTGACTCGATGGCACTTAACAACAACAACCAAATACCAAGATTCTTTAAAAAGCTAAGAAAATATATATTAGTACAAGGATACACAATAGAATGAGTATAAAGAGTTCAGAAACTGGCCGTACATTCTCAGTCACCTTGCTTTCTTTAAAAGATGACACTGCTTCACAGTGGAAAGGATGGCCTTTTCCATAAATGAGCTGGATTAATTTTACATTTGTAGGAAACAAACAATCTTGACCCATCTCCCACCATTTATAGATTGTAAATGTCAATATGAAAGGTAAATCACGTTTTTAAACAGGAGACTATCTTCTTAGGACAGTTAGGTTCTTACATGGGATGCAAAAAGCACGTCTGCAATAACGGACCTCTTCTCTTTACACTCCCTGCACACCGTAGTACATCCTTTCTCAAGCATAAGTTCCTGTTGACATACAATCCTAGTTTACACAGAATTATTCCTATGTCACATGAGAAACAACACCTGTATTTAAACTTTATACCTATGGTATAAAGTGCCATCGAGTTAGCTGCAGCTCATAGCAACCTCATGTAGGGTTTTCAAGGCTGTAAATCTCAGGAGCAGAAATCCTCATTTTCTTCCCACAGAGAAGTTGGTGGGCTAGAATTACTGACTTTGTGGTACACAGTCCAGTGCTTATCCTATACAGCCACCACATTTCCTACTGGTAGTAGTTAGAAAAAGAAGAAACTAGAGTTTGGGAAGTGAAAGGAAAAAGCTGTGAAGTGTTAAGTACAGCCTCATTCTGTAGTTCAGTGTGGAGAGAGAATCCATCTCAAAATGCCCTCCTTACGTGAGCAGTGGTCAAAGGTGAACTTGGGGGTCGGGGCGTCATTAAACATTTATAAACAAACGTTTTTAAAGGCTGAAAGGTATTCACCATTCAGATGGAGGTCTAAATGAAGGGGAAAAATACATTTTAACGGAGCAAAAACCTTTAAACATCATATTGTAAGTTTGGGAGAGGAAATTTCTGAAGATTTGGAAACCAACTGTACACTCCGCATTATTGAGAATTTCAAATTACCAATGATAAAAATCTTTGGAGTTATTTATTTTGTTTGCTATTATATGTTGTTGTTGTGATGTGCCATTGAATCGATTCCAACCCAAAGCGAGCCTGTACAGGGTGTCCAAGGAGCAGCTGGTGAGCTTGAACCACTGAACTTGCAGTTCAAATGACTTAGCAGTCTGACGCATTAGCCCACAGCGCCACACCAGAATCATGCTAGTGACTATTAAAAAATGTAAGGTATTCATTAGCCCATTTGTGGCCTGACCTCCACTTTTCATTTTTTGTTAAAATGTCCTAAATTTCTCAACTATAGAGTATCCTCTGATGAACTTTTTGTTTGTTTTTTATTGTAGTAAAATAAAGGCAAGAAAACATTTGCCAGTTTTTCATTTTCACATATTCCATTCCGGACATTAGTTATGGCTGCCATGTTGTATAGTCATCAGTCACCACTATCTGTTTCCATTGTTTTCCCTTTGTTTTTTCAGCACACCTTAAACGGTGTAAACCCATTTCTGTCGTCCCACCCATTCCAGGTTGTTAAGTGCCGTCAAGTGGATTCCGATTCATAGTGACCCTGTATAGGGTTTCCGAGGAGTAGTTGGTGGGTCTTAACTGCTGACCTTGTGGTTCGCAGTCTACTTCTGATCTTACAGTAGATTTGTGTTTAGGATAGTAATCATTTCATTGGGTATAGGATGTTATTGGAATACCAAATCAGGAAACAATAACATGGCGATAAAACGGAGTATTTAACACAAGAATAATGCACAATAAGGGGGAAAATCTACAAGCCATGAGCTGTGATGATAACAAGCCATTTCTTATGATGATACCTGTCTAACCAGGTGCTTGTCAGTATGTACCTCTCACATAGAAGGTATTTTCTTCTAAGATAACCAACTTTCTGGCTTTACAGCCACACCTTACTCAAAGGAGTGTAATTGGTACTAGAAGTAAGGTCTCTGAAAGAGGACTGTTTATCACATCTTCAAATTCAAACAAATTGAACTTTAAATAATCTATGTCAGCACCTGTATAAACAATTGTAGATCTGAATATGAGTGAACTCTTGAAGTCATGATTTAAATATTCTACCAATACTAGAAGTAACCTAAGTTATCTACAATTTTATTGTATTTCAAACACAAGAAAGTGGTATTGTGAAATGAACCCTACAATCAGCAGTATGTGCTAGTTGCCTTTAGATTTTGACATAAGTTTCGTTGTTGTGATAGAAGTGTACAAGGCGCCTTATATGATGCTAATTTGTAATTTTATAAGCACGTTGTGAAAACCAAAATGTACATGCTTTCCTCTTTAAGAAGGTATATTCCTGTTTGAAAGAGAATCATACATGAAAACAGATGGTTTCTATAGTACTTTTAGTTATATTTTATTTTAAACCCAACACCTAACAATTATGAATTTCTGGTATGGTGTTGTGGGATAAAAACACTAGACTACAAGGTTGGTTTGAACCTCAAAGTCGGCAGTTCAAAAGCTGCTCCTTGGAAATCTTATACAGGGTCACTATATTGAAAGTGCCATGGGCTGACTAAAGAGCCAACAGATCTGTGTTGTAAGAAGTGAAGCCAGAGCTCCTTGGAGGCCAGGATGGCCAAATTTCATCTCTCATACTTTGGACATATTGTCAGGAGGGATCAGTGGCTGGAGAAGGATATTATGTTTGGTAAGGTGGAGGGTCAGAGAAAAAAGGAAGACCCCCAACGAGATGGATCGGCCAGGTGGCATCGAGCATGGCAACAATAGTGAGGTTGGCCCAGGATCGGGCAGTGTTTTGTTCTGCTGTGCCTAAGGTTGCTATGGGTCAGTACCAACTCAATGGCACCTAACAACTACAACAAATGAGGCAGAACCAATTCAACAGCACTTAACAACAACAATTATTTTGAGATGTCACAATTTGAAATTTATTTAACACCAAAGTACTATCATCTCAAAGCATTTTAGTAACATTCACTGAATTCAAGAATAGTTATAATCACATTTTTCCATTTTTAAAATTTTATGTTACTAATTTTGTTAAGTGCCATGGAGTCAGTTCCAACTCACAGCTACCCTGGATTGGGTTTCCAAGGACAGGCTGATAGGTTTGAACTTCCTACCTTGCAATTAACAAGTACTTATCCTACAGTGCCACACCAGGACTCCTAAAATTATATAAAGCACATTAAATCTGCTCATTCAACAAAAAGCTTGACAGCTATCAGATTAGTGTCGATTTTTTCTTTGCGACTCTATTAAACAAGTACTGTTTCACTTTGGAATGTCTCATATTACTGTATGAGCTTTTACATATTAATGTATGAGCTTTCATACATTTCATAGGATTTTCATTGTTACAGTATAAGAAAAAGCATTTGAAATCTGTTTCTAACATGCCAGTGATTCTATGAGATTTTTCTATATAGAGCACTGCGATTCATTATGGAATTTTCTGTATTTCTCTCATTTTATATTGGTACATAAATATAAGCAGCATCATTTGTTAAGGTTTTGAAAAAAAGATCAGTTTTTCCAAAAAATCCTTCCAAGGCTTTAATACATTCTAATAATAATTTAAGTTTAATCTCCTTCCCTTGCTTGGTGTGGCACTGCGGCTTAATGCACTGATCTGCAAGGTTGGTTTTAACTGCAAAGCAGTTCAAGTTCACCAGCTGCTCCTTGGAAAACCTACATATGGTTCTGAACCAATTTGGTGGCACTTAACAACAACAATAACAAACCCTTTCCTTGGAATCCTGGTTTGGCACTGTAGAATAAGCACTGTATGGCTAACCACAAGGTCAATGGTTCAAACCCACCAACTGCCCCTTGGATACCCTCTACAGGGTCACTGTGAGTCATAACTGACTGGATGGCACATATCACAACTCAGCTCTACTGTTAGAGTGAAAGAAAACATAACCACTTCTCTGTTGCTTCTCAGAGCACTTGTTTTCATATGATCTGCTCAAATCACAGAGGAGCAAAGTTGAAGGAAACCTATTAAACCTAAGACCGTGGAAGCATTCCAACAATCTCACCATCTTATTTTCAAAGTTACCTTTTTATACATGTATGTATCTAGTTTTTAAGTGATTTTGTAAATACAAGAGTGTAAAGTCAAACTTATAAGAATATTTCAAATTTAGTTTTACCCAATTTAATGGAACCATTTCTTTTTTATCTTCTTCCTGAAAAGAGAATACTGATGTCACTGTATGATCTACAGGACTTTTCCTAAGGTCAGCATTCTGCTGAGATGTAATAGTTGTTTAACTAAGCATCAATAATAATTTCTGCATAGAAGAGCCTTTTTTTTTTTTTTTTTTCCTAAATGGGTAAGTGGAATTTAAAATGCTAATAATATTATTGTCTTCTAATGACACTCTCAAGGAAACTTGGTGACACAGTTGGTTAAGCACTGTGCTGCTAAGTGCAGGTTGGCCGTCCCAACCCACCGGCCACACCACAGGAGAAAGATAGTCTGCTTCCAGAACCTTATGGTCACTGTGAGTGGGAATTGTCTCAAAAGCAGTGAATGATGAACTGCTGCTTTCTGCAAGTCTTTATTGTGTGCTGTTCAAGTCTTCCAACCTCATAGAAATAGAACACTAAAAGGTCTATGTAAAAATGATTTAATATTTATTAACTTATTACAGAGCCGTTTTCATTTTAATTGTTAATGGATTGGCATTTAGCATTAAGACAAGAGTGGGTCAAGCTTGGCTTTTGTTATTGAAGGTTCACTCCAGTAGAGTAATCACAACATGGTCATCTCGGCCTTGCCATAACATTTCTCCTTCAAAGTCTACCAGTCCATGTTTCCTGGCCCGCATGAGAATGCCCACTACTTTATCTGAAATACGAACATATCTGTCAAAGAGATCTCCAAAAGTCACCTGGATCTTGCCATCTCGTCTGTGGCGAGCCATTGTGCGAATGATGAAGCACATGTCCATAATTTCTCTGTAGATGTGCTCCTGAGCCCGCTTGGCCCTTTCAGCAGTTTGAGTTCCCTCCTTGGGTCGGCCATAGCCCTCATCTCCTTTGTGTAAACGGGTGGACATGGCCAGCTCATAATCAAATTCTTCACTGAAAGGATTAAGCTTCTGGGATTGTGTGTGTTCATCCGCCCACTGTTGCCATTTCCCTTTCAAGTTGCCCACTTGGCTGTATTTCCGTTGGGCCTTGCAGCTGAGCTTCTCTGTAAATCTATTTGCCCTAAAGCAAAGAAAGGGTGAAGAATCCAGATAATGATATTTTAGCACCCAAATATTGCTTTCCCATTATTCTTCCTGCCCATATGCATTTTGATATATTTTTTCATTATAAAAATTATAAAATGGTATAACTTTTTCACTATAAAACAATACTAAAAAATCAGAAATTAAAAAAGAAAAATCATGGGCAGTACCATGGTTTCATTAGTTTGTTGTATATTTAATATTTTCTCTGAATAATAGTAATATTTTAAGTACTATAAAATATTAAACTCTTAAAAAAGGAAATCCTCCTTGCACATAGTAAAGCAAATGTACATATCTTGAAAGTTGTGTGCTAATTACATTTTGGAATTAGAATTATATCTGTACATTAAAGAAATCCACTTCTTATCAGAATTCTACAGCCTGTTTATTTTCTAAGGATTAGGTTTATAACACCACACACACATTGCAATATTCTCTCATATAATGTTTTATATATAAGTTTTAAATGAGATTACATATATACTAGTATCAGCAATGCATCACAAACTTTAAAACAACACCCAGCAATAGTAACATTTATTGGACAGTTACTATAATATTAACATTCTTCTAGTTTTCATTAATAGTTCCCACAACTACCTTAAGAGACTGAGATTATGAAAAATATTAAGATGCACCAGGCACTAATGGCAGTGATGATGAAACTGAAAAAATTTACCAACTTCTTCAGTCTGAAATTGATCAAACATGTAATCAAGATGCATTGCTAATTTTTGGTGATTGGAATACAAAGGTTGGAACAAAGAGAAGTATCAGTAGTTGGACAATATGGCCTTGATGATAGAAACAATGTTGGATATCACACAATAGAATTATGCCAGAATAATGAGTTTTTCATTGCAAATACCTTTTTTAACATAAAAAGCAATTATGCATATGGGCCTTACCAGATGGAATACACAGAAATCAAATTGACTACATCTGTAGGAAAGATGGTGGAAAAGCTCCATATCATCAAACCAAACAAGACCAGAAGCAAACTGTGGAATTGTTCATATGCAAGTTTAAGCTAAAGCTGAAGAATATTAAAACATCCACAAAACCCAAATAATGACCTTCAACATATCCCACCTCAAGAACTGATTTGATGCATTAGACACTAATGACCAAAGACTTGAAGATTGGTGGGATGGCATCAAGAACATCATCCAGGATGAAAGTCAGCAAATGGAAGAAATTAGGAGTTATAAGAGCTGAACATAAAATGTCAAAGGGCAGCTCAAGAATACAAAATCAAGTATTACAATGAAATGTGCAAAGACCTGGAGTTACAAAACCAAAAGGGAAGAGCACCCTTAGCCTTTCTCAAGCTGAGGGAATTTGAAGAAAAAATTCAAGCCTCAACTTGCACTATTGAGGGATTCTATGGACTACTGCTGTAGAATCAGCACTAGACTATAAACCACAAGGTCTGTTGTTCAAACCCACCAGCTGCTCCCTGCAAACCCTATACAGGGTTGCTATGAGTCAGAGCCACTTAACAATAACAACAACATGTGCAAAATTGTGAATGATGTAGAAATTATCAAAAGAAGATGGAAGGAATAAATGGAGTCAATGTACCAAAAAGAAATAATCAGTGTTCAGCCATTTCCAGAGGTAGCGTATGATCAAAAATCAATGGTAATGAGGGAGAAAGTCTCATGTGCATTGAAGACACTGGCAAATAATAAGACTCTGAAGTTGATGGCATACAAGTTGAAATCTTTCAACAAGCTGATGTAGCACTGGAGGCTCTCACTTACTATGCCAAGAAATTTGGAAGACAGCTACCTGGTGGACTAATTGGAAAAGATCCATAATTTTGCCCATTCCAGTGGAGTTCTGGTAGTGTAATGGTTACGAATCGGGCTGCGAACCGCAAGGTCAGCAGTTCGAAACTACCAGCTGTTCCGTGGGAGAAAGATGAGGCTTTCTGCTCCTGTAAAGATTTACAACTTTGGAAATCTGTACACAGGGTCGCTATGGGTTGGTTCCAACTCAATGGCACGTAGCCACCACCAAAGAGAGATAACATAACAGAATGTAGAAATTATAGGACTATCATTATTATTGCATGCAAGTTAAATTTTGCTAAAGATAATTCAAAAACTACCTCAACAGCACACTGACAGAGAACTGACAGAGGTTCAAGTTTGATTCAGTTGAAGAAGTGGAATAAGGGATATGATTGCTGACGTCAGTTAGATCTTGGTTGAAAGCAGAGAGTACCAGAAAGACAGCATGCTGAACAAATATTCTGAGAAACTGTATTATATGAAGAAGACCATAATTTTAGGATTGGATGATGACTCATTAACAAACTGATATGCAGATAATACAACCTTGCTTGTTGAAAGCAAAGAGAACTTAAAAATTACTTATTGATGAAGATCTAAGACCACAGCTTTCAGTATGGGTTGAACCTCAATGTAAAGAAAGCAAAAATCCCTACCACTGGACCAATACATAACATCATGATAAAGGGAGAAAAGATGGAAGTTCTCAAAGACTTAGGTTTGCTTGGATACAGTATCAATACTCATGGAAGCAACAAAGCAGCAGCCAAAAATGACATGACGTATTGTGTGAGGCAAACCTGCTGCACAAGATTTCTATAAAGTGTTAAAGAGCAAAGATGTCAGTTTGAGGACTAAGGTGCACCTGACCCAAGCCATGGTGTTTTTAGTAGTCTCATATACACCTGATAGTAAGACAATTACTATGGGAGACCACAGAAGAATTTATGCGTTTGAGTTTTGGTGGTAAAGGGTAACATTAAAAGTACCGTGGACTTCCAAAAGAACAAACAAATCTGTATAGGAAAAATTATAACCAGAGTACTCCTTAGAAGCCAGAATGGCTATACTTCATCTCTCATATTAGTAGGACATCATGCTTGGTAAAATGGAGGTTCAGTGAAAAAGTGGAAGGCCACCAACCAGAGTGATTGGCACAGTGGCAGCAGCAAAGGGCTCAAGCATCCTAAGGAATGAGAGGATGGCACAGGAATGGGCAGCTTTTCATTCTGTTGTGTAGATAGCCTTTCTGAGTTGGAACCAACTCGACAGCACTTAACAACAACATCCTAAGAGATAGTATATCTACTTCATAGATGAGGAAATTCAGGCCAGAGAAGTTAAGTAACATGCTTTAAATCACAAAGCTCTTATGTGGTAGAAGAAAGGTTTGAGCCAAAGTTAAGCTTGTCACCATAGTCTATATTCATAGCTGCTATGGAATTATGCCTTAAATCAGTGACAGAGCCAGAATTCAAACTCCAAAGAGTCTGAGGCTATTTTTCCACTTAGGCAATGATGACACTGGCATGGACAGAGTCTAACCATTGACTGTGTGCTTCAAATGTGTAAGTCTCTCTTTGGAATTTGGGATGAATTTTCCTATAAAAAGCAGAACTGGAAAGTATAGGCCTGTGGTGTTTTGAGGCTGTATATAGTTATAATATCACCACTTGTCTGTCAGTTTGTCGCACTATGGTAGCTTGCAAGTTGTTGTGATACTGGAAGCTATGCCACTGGTATTTTGAATGCTAGCAGGTTCACCCAAGTTTGACAGATTTCAGTTGAGCATCAGACTCAGAAAAAGGAGAGCCAACTACTTCTGAATGTTTAGCCACTGAAAATCTTATAAATAGCAGTAAAACACTATGAATAACACCTGAATATGGAATACTGAAACCTTATGAATAGCACCAAAATATTGTCAGATATAGAAAGGAGCCCTGTAGGTTGGAAGGTGCTCAGAATATGGCTGGGGAATTGCTGACGCCTCAAAGTAGAGTTAACCATGATGACTCAAACAGAGTAAAGTCTTCGAGATCATCTTTGCTAATGGGGCATAATTCAAAATGAGAAGAAACAGCTGAAAACAGCCATTAGTAAGTGAAACATGGAATGTACGAAGTATGACTACAAGAAAATCGGAAGTTCTCAAAAATGAAATGGCATGCATAAACATCGATATCCTATTATTCAAATCTATACACCAAACACTAAAGACAGTGATGATGAAATTGAAAATTTCTACCAACTTCTTCAATCTTAATTGGTCTAACATGTTATAAAGATGTATTGATAATTACTGATGATTGGAATGCAAAGGTTGGAAATAAAGGATCAGTAGTTTGAAAATTTACGCAACAACCACTAAAGCCAGTGAGGATGAAATTGAAGAATTCTACCAACTTCTTCAATCTGAAATCAATCAAACATGCAATCAAGATGTATTGATTACTACTGGTGATTGGAATGCAAAGGTTGGGAGCAAAGAGGAAGGATCAGTAGTTGGAAAATATGGCCTTGGTGATAGAAATGATGCTGG